CAGCTGTAAAGGGCTGATGTCACCAGCGGGTGAAAGCATGAATGGTTGAAGGTGTAGTTCCTGCGATGAGGCCAGCGGAGCTCTCAGTCGTCTAACAGTTTAGCTCGCGGCTCTTTTGTCTGCTTCTTGTCATGTTTCACATTTTAAACTTGTGTTTTCATGTGTTTCTGCAGATCTTTGGCTTCTTGAACCTGATCCTGTGGGCAGGTAACTGCTGGTTCATTTACAAGGAGACTCCGTTCCACAAGCTCCCTGCCCCCCCCAGCCCCACGCAGGAAGGCGGAGCCCCGGGACCCTAATCATATAGTTAGGGTTCCCCAGCACAGCCATGCACGCTTAAAGAAAAGCTTGATGTCCCACACTGATGTAGAGAACCCCCCCCAGTGAAACGCTGGTGTTTAGCAGCCCCCTCCAGCTTTAACGTGTCAGGACCCTCAGCTCACACTCACAGCAGCTCCCAGCAGGACCCAACATCTGCTCTGGATCCAGCTGCTGCTGGCCTGCTGCCTGAAACCGTCACACTACAGTCTGTTTGAAACACTCGTGTGTTGTGAAGCTGCTTACACACTGTGTGCTTCCTGTTTCACTGCAGTACTGTTATACTACACTGTGTCCATGTAACACTAGTAACATTATTTATGTTTGACTCTGAAGTTTCACTGTGCAGCAGCAGCGTGATCACAGCACTGACTGTTTGTGTTGTTGATGCTGGAATTGTGTTGATGCAACAGGAGAAAAAGACTGAAACGTGTTGTGTCTCATGCGTATCATTGGGCCGAGCTCATGTTAGTGAAACACACACATCTTATTAACTCATTTCATATCCAACAGTGTGGAAACAAACAGCTAACAGATCATCTGCAGAGGAATGGTTTATTTGAAGAGTTTCAGTCAGGTTTCAGAGTTCATCACAGCACAGAAACAGCTTTAGTGAAGGTTACACATGATCTTCTTATGGCCTCTGACAGTGGACTCATCTCTGTGCTTGTCCTTCTTGACCTCAGTGCAGCGTTCGATACTGTTGACCATAATATCCTATTAGAGCGATTACAGCAGTGCAGTAGTTTCATTGATTGGGGAGTCCTCGTCACACACTGAGGTGCTCTGCATCAGCTCACTCACAGACATCCATTCTTCTTCTTCTTCTTCTTATCGGGGTCATGGAGGGCGGAGCGTCTGAGCTAGCACAGGGCGAGAGGCCCATGGACTGATTGCAAATATGACGTGGGGTTAACACAGAGACAGAAAACATTTGCAGCCTGACCCCACTAACTCCACCTGACTGTGGGAGGAAGGTGCAGTAGCTGGTAACCCACACTAACCCAGTGAGAACAGGAAGTCCACACACACTGGTGGGTGGTGGAGCTGGAACAGTGCTGAGCTGCACGTTTGAAGGCGTAGCGTACGGTTTCATTCCTGTGCTGATGATATTCAGCTTTATATACCTGTGAGGTCACAGCAGTCAGGTAGACCTGCATGGACTCTCTGCTTCTAACTTCAGATCAAACAGGTCTCTGGACTCTCAGAAACATGGTACCTGTAAATGCTCACTCTGGCCTCCAGCAGCGATGGTCCAATCACGCTGTCACGTAAAAAGGTTGATTACTCAGCACCGTCCTGTTTGGCACCATGATGGACAGACGGACCAGTGCTGCCACTCACACATTCAAGTGTATTTATGTAGCACAACAGGCCATGCTGCAATGTAAAAGGTCACTCTAATAAAAAATGCACAACAATGATGCTGTAAAATATAGAAACATAAGTCAATAAAAACAACAACAAGGCTGTTAAAATGTTTGTCAACGCGTGCTCA